GAAAGAAAGAAAGAAAGAAAGAAAGAAAGAAAGAAAGAAAGAAAGAAAGAAAGAAAGAAAGAGAAAGAGAGAGCGAGGGAAGGAAGGAAGGAAGGAAGGAAGGAAGGAAGGAAGGAAGGAAGGAAGGAAGGAAGGAAGGAAGGAGAGAGAAGAGGGGAGGAAGGAAAGGAGGAAGGGAGAAAAGAAAGGAGGGAAGGAAGGAAAGAAGGAAAAGAGAGAGAGAAATTGAAAAGAACTGAGGATGTAGCTCAGTAGTAGGATTGGAAGGATGTTTGCCTAGAGTGCAGAAGTCCCTACATTTGATCCGCAGCGGTGTAACATAAGTCACATGTGTATATACATATATACAATATATTAGGGAAGAGTATGAGCTTGAGGCCAGCCTGAGCTACATATTTAGCTCTAGATTGACCTGTACTATACAGAGAGACTCAGAGAAAATATTGTGTGTGGTCTTCCACACCTGTCATTCCTGCACTTGTGAGGTGGATGCAAAAGGATCAAGAGTTCAAGGCCAGTCTCAGCTGCATAGAGAGTTTAACACCAACATGGGCTGAATGAGACCCTTTCTCAAAACAATATTAATACGCTGGGGAATATAGGGTTAGAGTACAAAACAAGAAAGTTTGAATTTATAAGAGGAATTCATCGAACCATATACACTAAAGTATAAAAAGAAAATATTGCTGTGAAGCTGGGATGTAATTCACCTAAATGCACAAAACCATGGGTTCAATCCTCAGTGTGGCATAAAACTAGAAGTAGTTGTATATATTTGTAATCCTAGCACTCAGAAGGCAGAGGCAGGAAAATTCACTCAAAGTTACCCTCAGCTAAATACCAAGTTTGAGACCAGCTTATGTTACATGAGACCCTGTCAAAAGCAAACAAACAAAAAAGTAAAGAAGAAAAGGGGAAAGGAGGGAAAGAAAGAGGTTAAGAGGAAGGGAGAGAGGAAGGAAATTATGCTTCAGGCCATGTTCATTTTCTATACATCAGCTTCTAAAATGCTTGACTCTAGGGCTGGAGAGATGGCTCAGAGGTTAAAAACAATTGCTGTCCTTCCAAAGGTCTTCAATTCCCAGCAACCACATGGTGGCTCATAACCATCTAGAATGAGATCTGGTGTCCTCTTCTGGCCTGCTGGCTCATATGCAGGCAGAATTCTGTATAACTAACAAAAAAATAAATAAATAAATAAACAAACAAACAAATAAATAAATAAATCTTTTTTTTTTTAAATGTTTGACTTCTTACATCATCAGCATACTTTCTCACTACCCAACCGGCAAGTGGGAGAAAAGGAAAGAGTATTACTCCCAGAATGATGGCATGAGCATCTGAGTTGATGCTAGGGCAATATTGCAATTAGCTAAGAGGAGGAACAATGGTTGACAGAATACATTTTGATAGATCTTGGAAACATTCATGAAATGTATTGGAGATGTCAGGCTGGAACTCAGGAGAGTCAGCTTAGATAGACCAAGGTTTGGGAGGCAAGGTCATTTCACTACTATCTGAATCCACTAGGCCAAATGGCACAACTGTTTGGAAGAAGCACTAAGTACAGGAATTAATGTGCCATGAAGCCAACCAAACAGATTTCTCAATGGCAGGAAAGTGTGTGGTCTTGGAATATAGGAGGGAAGACACTGTCAAGTGATAGTGCCAGTTCTAACTCAAAAATCTAAGATGATATTTTTCTTTAAAATCTCACTAGATACTTATTAGATAAAGCAATGGCCATACCCTCAGTACAAATTTTCTGTTGCTTTTCTCATTTCTATGATAAAATACCTAAAAGTATATAAAGGTAAGATTTATTTTTGGCTCCTGGTTTTGGGAGATTGAGGCCATCATGGTTGGAAAAGTAAGGCAGCATCATTTTGCCCACATCTAGACAGGTCAGAAAAACAGAACAGGAGGCAATATAAACCTCAAGACCAACTACCAGCACTCACTTATAATCCCAGTGAATGAGGCAGGAGGATGGTAGTAAGCTTGAGTTCCAAAAAAAAAAAAAAGTCCACTATGGTGGTGCACACCTTAAATCTTGGGAAGCAGAAGCATAGGCAATGGGTTTCTATGAACTTGAAACCAGACAGCTCTACATAGCAAGCCCCAGGCCAACTAAGGCTACCCATAATGAGATGTGTTAAAAAATAATTTAAAAAGAAGAAGAATTTTAAGAGAATGGGTAAAACATGCAGTAAAAACAACTAAGGTGTTTTTAGCCAGTGAATGGCTAAAATGTGTTCTATACACCATGGAATATATTTAGAAATAAGAATGAAGAAACTATTGTCACATGCAGCAATCTGGATGAATTTATGCCAAGCAAAAAGAAAATTCCTAAAAGCACATAGTTCATGGTCTAATTATCTAACATTCTTGAAACTGTATTAGATAACATGTTCATGGTTGGCAGGGTTTAAGCGGGAAGTGGAGCAGAAAAGAAGTGGTCTTGGCCTTTAAAGGTAAAATAAGAGACACAGGTGTAGCTCAGTAATAGAGTATTTGCATAAGGTACACAAACCCCAAATTTTTCTCCCCCAACAAAGTAAAAAAGGAGAGATCCTTGTGGCCATGGAAATTTTCTCTTCTATGTGAGAATACAAGAAACTATCTATGATCTACAAAGGTTTCACCAGATTAACACTGGGGGAAACTGAGTAAACCACATGCTGCAGCTGAATTTATAATTACTTCAAAAGAAACACATTCCCAGATACGTGATCCCAACATTGGAGACTGAGGCAAGAGTAGTGCCATGAGTTCAAAACAAGCCAAGGCCACACAGCAAGACCCTGTCTCAAAAACACCGAAATAGTTTTTCTTCATTTTAGCCTTTCCTGCTCTTGGGAGTCCTTTCTCAGTCTTCCTTAATAAATATATGCTCAGCTCTAATAAAAAGAAAAAGAAAAAAAATCAGTTAAAGAAATAGCAAACCCGAGAATGCATCGTGGTTATAAAGCGCTTCAAGAACCTGTCTGGCTTCCTGGATTCCCACTCTCCCCCAGCAAAAAGAATAAAAGAAAAAAAAAACATATAGGTGGTGGGGGAGATTTCTTACCTCAATAAATCTACCAGATTCTTCTGGATTCAAGGCAGGAAATCTCTGGGGTGATTTCTCATTCGCTGGCATATTCACCAGCGCCTCAGCTCTCCCCCTTTCAAAGCTGAAGAGTGTAGAAGTTCCACAGAGACAGAAACAGGGGTATCCATATGTTGCTGAGGAGACTGTGACCAAGACAACTTACTGAATAAAGCATTTAACCAGAGCTTGCTTACAATTTCCAAAGTATAGTCCATGATCATCATGATGGGAAGCATGGCAGCAGGCTGGCATGGCATTTAAGCAGTAGCTGAAAGCTCACATAGAATCTGAAAGTTGCCTGCAGAGCCAGAAGCTGGGCCTGGTGTGGAAACCTCAAAACCCACCCCTAGTGATACACCTTCTCCAGCAAGGTCCTACTTACTCCAGCAAGGCCACACCTCAACCAGGAACCAAACAGGCAAATACATGACCCTCTGGGAGCCATTCTCATTCAGTCCACCACACTGTATCATTACACACACTGACTTCATAGAGCTAAGCAACACCAACTAATCTTTACTTTGGGTGGATTACAATATCCACACTCAACAGAATGAGCTGAGCCCATTATTTTCTGGTGCCTCCATAAGGAGCTGCAACCATTGTCCTGACCCAGACAGCCTGTCAACTGCAAATAGAAGCATTTCAGGTATTCATGTAAGGCCAGTATTTCTTTTTTTTTTTTTCTGAGACAGATTATTACTCTAAGTTTGGGGTCCCACAGAAAAAGAGACTATTACCACAATTGAAGGGCATAAACAAAGCAAACTACTCTTGATTAAGAGGGTGTGTTTGGAAAAGCAAACACACTAGGATTTTTTTTTATCCTAATCATGTGGTGACTATAACTTTTCCCCATTGGCTGGTGTCTGAACTCACAATCTTACTCAACTGGCTAGACTTGGCACAGAGGAAATGAAGGAGTAAAAGGAAAGAGGTCACTGTTCCAAGGAGAAAAGAGTCACTGCTCCACACCATCAAAAATTCCTAGAACAGAACAGTGGGTCTTTGTGAAAACTAAGGTTTTACTAGGTGGGAAGAATAAAAAATATTTTCAAGTCTTACAAGTTAGGGGAGATAAACAGATTTTAATTACTTGTCCTAAACTGAAGTCTTATAGTATTTGATGGAAGACTCATATTTGATACTTCTTACATTCTGTAACCCAAGCTGGCCTGGAAGTCTTATAAGCCATGTTCAACTCAAACTTGTGGCAATTCTGTTTCTGCCACTAAGGGCTGAGATTACAAGTGTGAGTCATGACACATGGCTGACACATGACACTTACCTTTACCTCTATTTGACAGACTTTTCTTTCTCTCTTTACCTTTTTTTTTTTAATACAAGATATCAGTAGCTTCTCCTGGCCTCAAACGTGATATATAGTTGAATTCCTGATCCTCTTGTCTCTACTTCCTGCATGCTGGAATTATAGGTGTGAGCTTTATGCAGTGCTAGGGATTGAAATCACGTGAGAGATGGCTCAGAAGTTAAGAGCGCTGGCTGTTTTTCCAGAGGTCCTGAGGTCAGTTTTGAGTTCAATTCTCAGTAACCATATGGTGGCTCACAACCATCTAGAATGAGATCTGGTGTCCTCTTCTGGCCTTCAGGCATATATGTATTTATACACTATATAAATGCATACATACATACATATATACCACAAGTTAGTTTATTACATTGTTTCTGGTTTTTTTTTTCTTTTTTAAAAATTTCCACCACCACTCCCACCTGTTCCCAACCCCACCAAACCACCCCCAGTCCACCTGGGAAATTTATTCTACTTTCCCTTCCCAGGGAGATCCTTGCATCCTCCCTAAAACCCTCCATGTTACTAAGCCTCTCTGGATCTGTGGACCATTATAGTAAAAAAAAATCTGTAATTTTTGTTTCTTTAAAAAACACAGAAATAAGGGCTAGAGAGATGGCTCAGAGGTTAAGAGCACTGGCTGCTCTTCCAGAGGTTCTGAGTTCAATTCCCAGCAACTGCATGGTGGCTCACAACCATCTATAATGAGATCTTTTCTGGCATTCAGTTGGACACGCAGACAGAACATTGTATAAATAATAAATAAATAAATAAATAAATAAATAAATAAAATCTTAAGAATTTTAAGAAAAAAAACACAGAAATATAAGAAAATGCTGTTTTTGTTTTGGGTTTATTTGTTTGTTTGTTTTTGGTTTTAATCTCAAACGTGGGGGTATAGGGCTGCTTCGAAGCATGTGTAGAGGTGTAGTTTTGCCAGCTGCAGATAGTTTCTGCAATTGGGTGACGTTTGGAATTATGGGGACTTTTCATAGTAGATATAAAAGCTAGAGCCCTAATAGGTGGAGGGTGTTTGTTGATCATTCAGGGGGTGTTGGTTGTGGTTTGTTATTATTCATGCTCAAAGAAGAAATTAGATTCAGGGATTTCTCTCTTTCTCTCACTCCTTCTCTCCTTCTTTCCCTCCCTCCATCCATTCCTCTCTCTCCCCCTCTCTCATTTTTTCTCTCCTATCTAGTGACAGGGGGTGAAACCGGGGAGGATAAAGGGTGGGAAAAAGAAGAACCCACAAAGTAGCAAAGTCCAGCTACAGACCATAGCATAACTGTCTAACAGACAGCTAATATCCACTTATAAGTGCATACATACCATGTTTGTCTTTCTGGGTCTGGGTTATCTCCCTCAGAATGATTTTTTTTTTCTAGTTCAATCCATTTGCCTACATATCTCACGATGTCTGTGTTTCTAACAGCTTAGTAATATTCCTTGTGTAAATGTATCACATTTTCCTTATCCATTCTTTGATTAAGAGACATCTAGGTTGTTCCCATTTTCTGGCTATTATGAATAAAGCTGCTAAGAACACAGTTGAAAGACTCATAACCAAACCTTTGGCAGAGTGCAGGGAATAACATGAAAGAAGGGGGAGTTAGTATGATGGGGAAAGGATAGGAGCTCCACAAGAACCAAATATATCTGGGCACAGGGTCTTTTCTGAGACTGACACTCCACCAAGGACCATGTATGGATATAATCTAGAACCTCTGCTCGGGTGTAGCCCGTGGTAGCTCAGTAACCAATTGGTTTCCCACAGTAAGGGGAACAGAGACTATTTCTGACAGGAACTCAATGGCAGACTCTTTGACCTCCCCACCCCCCAAAGCAGGAGCAGCCCTGCTAGGCCACAGAGGAGGACTTTGCAGCCAGTCTTGATGATACCTGATAAAACAGGGTCAGATGAAAGGGGAGGAGGTCCTCCCCAATCTGTGGACTTGGAAAGGGGCAGGGAGGAGATGAGGAAGGGAAGGTGGGATTGGGAGGGAATAAAGGAGCAGGATACAGCTGATATACAGAGTCAATAAAATGTAACTAATAATAAAATAAAAAAATTAAATTAAAAAAAAGAACATAGTTAAGCAAACATCCTTGTGATAGGATGAAATGCCATTTGAGTATATTCCCAGGAGTGAGATAGCGGGTCTTGAGGCAGATTGATTCCCAATTTTCTGAGAAACTACCATATTGACTTCCAAAGTGGCTGTACAAGTTTACATTCTTTTTAAAAAAATATTTTTGATCTTAGTCTATCAGATCCCATCAGGAATGGCTGCATTGTCATCTTCTGTGTCCTGGTAGGGCTGCTCTCCCCTCAGGGGGAGGTGATCAAAGAGCAGGCCAATCAGATTATGTCAGAGACAGTCCCTCTTCCCATTGCTATGGAACCCACTTGGATACTACGCTGTCATGGACTACATCTGTGCAGGGGTTCTAGGTTATCTCCATGCATGTTCCTTGGTTGGAATATGAGTCCCTGGGGAGACCCCTGTGTTCAAATTTTCCAGTCCTGTTGCTCTCCTTGTGGGATTCCTGTCCTCTCCAGATCTTACTATTTCCCACTTCTTACTTAAGATTCCATGCACTTTGCCCATCAGTTGGCCTTAAGTCTCAGTGTCTGCTTTGATAGTCTGTAGGGCAGAGGCTTTCAGAGGCCCTCTGTGGCAGGTTCCTAGGATGTTTCCTGTTTTCTTCTTCTTCTGATGTCTATCCTCTTTGCCTTTCAGGATGGGGATTGAGCGTTTTAGTCAGGGTCCGCTCTCTTGATTAGTTTCTTTAGATGTTCAGGGTTTTAGTAGGTTTATCCTATGTTATATCATATATCATATATGTTATATCATATATCATATATGTCTATATGAGTGAGTATATACCGTGTGTGTCTTTCTGCTTCTGGGACAGCTCACTCAGGATGATCCTTTCCAAGTCCCACCATTTACCTGCAAATTTCATGATTTCCTTATTTTTCATTGCAGAGTAATACTCCATTGTGTAGATGTACCACAATTTCTGCATCCATTCTTCAGTTGAGGGGCATCCAGAAGGAAGGAGAGGGGGACCTCCCCTATCAGTGGACTTGGGAGGGGCAAGTGAGAAGAAGGGGGGGGGGAGGAGGGGGTGGGAAGGGGAGAAGGAAGGGGCTTATGGGGGGATACAAAGTGAATAAACTGTAATTAATAAAAAATAAATAATAAATAAATAAAAATATTTTTTAAGCTTTGTGATGTTTATTTTTTTAATTTTTTATTAATTACACTTTATTCACTTTGTATCCCCCCATAAGCCCCTCCCTCCTCCCCTCCCGATCCCACCCTCCCTCCCCTTTCTGCATGCATTATGTGTATAAGCATTGTGTTTCCTGATCTGCCTTGTGAATACCAAAGATTTTTAAAGTATTCAATAACCTTATAGCTAAATAAAATCTCTTTGTGTATAAGTAAAACAAGATAAAACAAACAAACAAAATAAAACACAAAACAAGTCAAGCCAGGGCATGGTGATATAGGCCTTTAATCCCCACACTCCAGGTAGCAGAGGGAAGATAAAGCCTAGGAGTTCCAGACCAGCCTGGTTTATACAATGAGCCCTTGTCTCAAAACAACAACACAAAACCCACAGGTGAAAATGTCAGAAGAATTCTTCCTTATGGAAATCAGGGATATATTTTTACTATAAAGATAAATGATACCATTGTGAGATTTTCAAAAAAGTACAGGTTTACAGG